TCTTCTGTATCAGGATCGTTTGATATCAAGGAGTGGCTATTTGGAACGACAGCTGAAAGAATTTTCCAAAGCAATCTTCTCCCTCCCGTTAAATATAACGGCCGAGACATTTTCTTTGGTGACAAACTTCTGCTATGGGGCCTGTATTTCCATAACTCCATTTAATGTTGCCTCGCTTTTTATAGCCGCCAAGTTGCTGGATATGTCAGAAACTAGAGGACCGAGAGACGAGAACTTGTGTCAGAAAACGGAAAACTATTTTCGTCTTGTTGTCGCTGTTAACCTGGAGTATGTCTCTATTGTATTGCGATCCTGTTTTTCACTGCTTCCAGAGGTTGAAACAACGACTCGTCTTGTTAGTAGGTGCATTGAGGCCTTAAGTTTGATGGGAGATGTGGAAATCGTTACAAGTTGTTTACACGATGTTAGGAAACTTTGTTTTGAGGATTTTAAACTAATTTTGAAGTCAACAAGTCAACGGTTGATCGAATGTCATGACCTTCTTTATATAATCATTGACCTCTACATCAAGGTATGATACTCGTACTCCTGTTTATCTATGGTGTCTATGAATTGATCTGCATTTCATTTTCAAGTTTGTTGGAACGATCCGAACCTTATCTTGTGCATCAAACACGTTTGATTTGTTGGATTGGAGAGTATCAAATAAGAACAAAGAGTGTTAAATAGTCGAATTGTTGGTTGTTCATTGTTGTGATGTGGACCAAAATGAGCCATTATTTACATTATGCAGGAACACAATGTTAAAATGACAGAGGACCAGAAAACAGAACTGTGTACTTATGTAGACTGCAGCACCTTATCCTCAAAAATTCTCATGCATGCTGTACAGAATCCTAGAATGCCACTGAGATTTGTTGTGCACGCCATGTTTGTCGAGCAACTGAACACTCGGCGCTCCATCATCTCTACTGTTGATCACAAACATCAAATTGAAGATGCTGTGACACTTGGCTCAATTCTCAAACGCGATGCAGCGCTGCATCGAGTGGCAGAGCTCAAGGCAGTGATGAATTCCACAAATTCACGTGTTCAGTGCTTGGAGAAAGAACTGAGCGGCATGAGGAAACTTTTGAATGAATCGGAAATTATTACCAATAGGACTGATTTGGGGAGGTCTGCAAGTTTTCATTTAAGCTCGGAGAATAAGATAGAAAGGGGGCAGATTGGCTCGATTTCTTCCATTAGTCTGCATAATGTAACAAATAGTGTCGGTGTAGGATATTCTTCCTCTCAAGATTCAGTTGATGGAAAAACAAGGATGAATTTTCGTCAAAGATTCATGAAGGGATTGAAGAGTGCTTTTCGGGTATCGAGATTAGCAAAGAAAAAGTGTTAGAAATGGAAAAAAATTAGTTTGACGGTGTTATTTCTTGAGCAAGTAGTTTTTTGGGGGTTTGATTTGTTCATAATCATCTGATCTCCATGTGATAGCCAAAGAATAATCTTTAGTTTATTTCAATTAACGACAGGTTTTTTGATTATTTATTCTACTGACCAGGCGCGCGCCATTACAATAGTGAACCATGCTATGCGTACATTAGATTTGTCAGATTGAGTTACAGATTGTCTGATGGCAACATCTCATTGGAGTTTGGTAAAAAAGAAAAAAAAATTAAAAACATCCAATCAGGGATTGCCGTCTCAGTCCATGTACACTTCAATCAGTTCAATGGCAATTTCCCATGTACAATGAGCTTATTCCTACAATAGTTAAATCACTAATTTTCTGTTTGGTTTTACTAAAAATTAAACTTTTAAGTAGATTTCGATAAAAAAAAAAAAAAAATGATAAAATGAATGATCGAAATATTGAAAAAGTCGTGAGTCTATTTAAATGTTTGGTTAAAATTAATTGTTGATTTTAATTTTTATAATTTTTTGGTAAGGGCAAGTCTATATCAAATACAAAATCAAAATTTCCCCTTGTTTGGCCCTCATTAATTTTTTTTTTTTTAAAAAATTATCTTTCTTAATTTTAACCACATTCTCCAAATAAAAGAATATTACAAACAAATATAAATCTTTTCATTATTTTTCAACCACACATTCTTCCATCAATCACTATTCCAAAATTTATAAATTCTCCAAAATGGAGGCCAAACAATGACTTTATTGAAAACTAATCCGTTACCATTTGAATGAAATGTCCATAATGAGGGGAAATCGCATTCCACAAATATGTATATTTAGCCCTTGTCTGTGGCTCCATTAAAATGTAATTTTGAGAAAAATGTATTCTGAAATAGTGATTTTTTAAATAATGTGTGGTTAAAAAAAAGAATTTTTTTTTTGAATTTAAGTGTAATATTATTTTATTGAAAAGTGTATGATTGAAAAGAAGAAAGAAAAATGTATTAAAATTAAAAAAAAATTCCACAGAATTGCAACAGAATGAATACTCACACATGGGTGGGGCCTGCACATTTTTTTTCCTTTTTAAATACACGATGGGACCCCGTTTGTCTCTATTCTGTTGCATTTCTGTGAATTTTTTTCTGTACAAATTGATTTCTCCAAATTAAAATAGAGCCCAAGTATGATCTTAATTATCAACATGTGCAGGGCCATGGGCCTTGTACTTGCCACCCCTGTCACGGGTGAGGGGAGAAAATCCGTACTTATATCATTTTCCTTTAATTATATGATATATATCATTTTCAAATCTTTTAGCGATTTGGATAAGGAAGCAAGCGATGCCCCACTAAAAAAATTGCTGACAAATTGGAAGATTTCGAAGTTGGGTAATGCGATTTAACTTTGAAAACGTGCCACACGAGGTAGGTGATGGGTACGTTAATCGTAATTCTACCAAATCACTTGTATTTTTAATAATTTATGGTAAAATAATTTCTATGAGTTATTGCCATTAATTACTCATCTAATAAGGGTTTGACATGAGAACATCATCGGTAGAAGGGATGAAATGATCAGTGCACATCATAGACGAATTAGTCGACCCAACCAAAATTCAACTATGAATTTTATAACTACAACAAATTAAGAGCTTGTTTATGAGAGATTTTTG